TCCAGTGAAGGATTGTCTTATGTCGAGCAATAGTCCAGTCAGCTTTGCATTTCTTTACTGACCACATCTGCTGCTATATTACTTTGAAGCTGTAATCAATCATAACCAATCAAAATAACCACTTCATTTTTCATTTCTCTCCAAGACTTCTGTGTTCTTGTGCGTTTCCCAAAAAAATGTGTTACAAATTCAGCTGCAACGATACGTCGATTAATTATTTTTCAAGCATAAATACCAGCAAGTCTCTCGATTCAACTTTTTTAATCTAAGGATGTGCTGTTTTTCTTTTTTTAACATGACAGTAAAGTTAATCTTAAGGCTTTAGACTGTCAGTCACACAACACAAGCATATTGACTCACTATTTTTCAACACTAGAGGATTAATCAATCAATTGAGAAAATAATCAGTAGATTAATTGATGATGTTGCAGCCCCAGTTACAAATGTGGAATACAAATTGATTATTAATAACTGAGCTGCAGTAAAATTCATCAGGACCTCACATTTTCAAACAGTCAGTTGAAAGCTGCATTTGGCTTCTCAGCCCTGCAGCTGGGGAGCATGTTGCTATTTTTGTCACGTAGGAAGGCATCATAAATAGAATCCCATCTGAGTCTTCTGGTAAGCTTTCAGAAACACTGTTTCACTGTGAATACTGATATACTGTCTGCTAACAAGGTGCAATCCAACAGTTGAAACCATTCTTTTGATCTTCTTTTCGAAGGTGTGTGTGTGTGTGTGTGTGTGTGTGTGCAGACTCACCAGAAAGACCAGGTTGGTCTGTTGGTACAAGGCTCTGGCTACGCTGATACGCTGTTTCTGTCCACCTGACAGGATGACACCCTGCATCAGGGGGCAGGAAGAAAACTTTACTACAAGGTTTTACTACAAAGAGAGGTAAACAACATCAATAAATGAGTGTGGCACCCGCCCCCAGAGTAAGACAGGAGATCACAGTTTGTTTCCTGCATTACTGGTGCGTGAAGACATTCAACATGACAGTGCTCTGGCTGAACAAGGTCAGTCCAGCTCCCTACACACAAATCATCCAATCCTCGCTGCACAGTAATGATGGCAAATGATTCTGCAATACAGTAAGCCACAGTGGGCGCTACAGCCAGATCTGGAAAATAAAAAAGACCACAGAGAAAATCATCCATTTTTACTGTGATACTGACCCGCTCCCCTATCTCTGTCTGGTCCCCCTGTGGAAGGATGTCAATGTCAGGCTGAAGAGAGCAGGCCTCGATGACAGCTTTGTATCTGGCAGACACAAACAGAGACAGAATACAAATGAGGGCAGAGAGCACCAAACTATGGGCCTGCTCATTACAAACAGGGCTAACACTCTAGATAGCAAATTAATTTGAATGATACACATCTTACATACTGTATAACTTGCTGTTATGTATGCATAACACAACCCATAAAAGTCTCTGAGCACTGAAAATGAAGATGGGAAAAGCATTTCACCAGCCTCTGTGGTTTAACTTGAAAGTTGTTGCCCTGAGTGCTCAATCAGTCTCGCTTCAACAACAGAGGGACACAGAAAAAGATTCAGAGAGCACAGAGACAGAGGCACACTGGGATTTCTAGTAATTTCCATATGGTACATTTGGAGCCACCCACATGTTCTTCAAATTGCAGTAGAAACAACGCCACACTCACTTGTACATAACAGGTTGACAGTAATTGCTGGAGCCTTGAAAATACTGTGACTTAAAAATATGGGTTCACAGTCCAGAAAGGGCAGATTAGCCTGTAAATTAGTAAAATTAAAATTAGTTTGATTTCCAAACATTGTCCAGATCATGGTGAGTTAGGATCTGGATTCATTGTAAGAATATCAATGAATGGGATTAACCCTGGGTGGTTTGATATTCTAAGTCCGAATCTATCACAATGGTTCGTGATTACTCAATTATCTGAATGCCATTTTAAAGGAGTATGTACAGAGGCCGTTAGTTTTGATGTGATTATGAGTGTCAGTGAAAGCACTGAAGCAAGAAAATTACTATATACACCTGACCCGCCTTATTCAACAGTCCGGCAGATTTATGAATCCGCAGTGTCACATGGCGGAACCAGTCAAATCTCTTGCGGCACAGCACCTGAGTAAATACTCTGCTAGATGCATAGCGTGGCTTTGAGGCCACAGCGCCCCCAACGCGGACCATGATAGGCTATTTATGTTAAAATGCAGGAGCAGAGGAAGGATCAATATGTTAACAATATTAGGTAGGCCACATTTTATACAGCATTGCTCATTAATTATTTACCACACTGGGATTTCCTTAATGAATGATAAAGTGCTGGAATTCTCTTATAGCCCATTACATTCATTTTAAATAGGCTACAGGCCTATTTATTCAGCTGTAACCTGACGGAACAAAATGCCAGTGGCAATAGGCTAATTGAAGATGACAATATTAATCCAATAGATTAGACATAGTTTAGTCTATAGCCTTCTCATGGACCTGTGATTGTAAAGTCACAGTCCGACTCAGTAGGTTAGTCTATTAATGATTTGTTAGCTGTGGAAAATGTGTCTAGGTTCAAACTGACTGTAAAGCTTTAGACATTTATTTTACATTAATAAAATCTTGCTCATTTCGTATTTTATGAAGAGCTGTATGCAGCTAGTAATGAAAAACTCACTTTTAAACTACATTTATTTGTTTCAGCTGCACCACAGTCATCCTCACTCAGAAATGTTCACATCGTATCCAGTTGATAACTACGAATGTTCCAATCAGTGTGACTACAATATGAAAGATTACTGTTCATTGATCAGTTTTGTACAGATTAAACAGTGATTAGGCCTACTGCAGTAATGTAGATCACGGTAAGTGTTTTTGTGTAACTGTTGCCAGCCTGACAGCTGCCATAATGTCCACAGAGTCACTGTGTTATAAAGAAGGACAGTGTAGCTTATAGACTTTATTCTGTGCTGAGGATAAATCCACAATGTCCAAAGATAATTCTCTGTCCAGGCATCAATGACAGATTGATCATAAAAGCGGTCATGTTCAAGATCATGTAGAGGCTTGATGGGAAAGACAAAGGAGACAGCGAGGACAGGCAGTGCAGGGTGGGTTAACTTCTCATATCTGTGGAACATCTCCACAGCAACAAACCACAAGGGTCCATCAGATGTATTCTATGAAAACAGTCCATTAGGGCCTGAGAGAGCCCGGCCACAAGGATAAATGCATGCAGCAGACCTTTCAGAAAGAAGACTTGTGAGGATGAAAATAATGTGTGCAATTGTGTGTTTGTGTGTTTTGGTTGTGCCCACGCAGGCAAAAAACAGCATTGTTGTGCCAGGAGTGAAACTGTAGACACTCTGCAAAGGGACAAAGAAGAAGAACTCCTTCAGCCAAGAGAAATCCTGACTTGTGGTGTCTCAGTGTCAAAACAGTTTATTTGGGAAGTTTATTTGGGAAGTTTATTTTAATGGATTCAAACTGTTGACTCAATCAGGCATTAACACATCCAATTGACCACAGCGGCCTCAGTGAGCAGGAAGGTTATTGGCTGTATGTTGGCTTAACAGCTTGGGCTGACCACACATTGATTACTCTGTTAATTATCTGAATGCCATTTTAAAGGAGAATGTCCTGAGGCCGTTAGTTTTATTGTGATTGTGGGTGTCAGTGAAAGCACTGAAGCAAGAAAATGAGGTTCAATAATTAACGTAGACGGCTTACACACTGTGATTACTAATGCAAGTGTGCAGTTTACTATATACACCTGACCCGTCTTATTCAACAGTCCTGCAGATTTATGAATCCGCAGTGTCACATGGCGGAACCAGTCAAATCTCTTGCTGCACAGTACCTTAGCAAATACTCAATGTTGCTAAATGCATAGCGACAGTTCACAGTACTGTCTTATTAGCAAAACACTATCTGCAGTTTACTATATACACCTGGTTCAAACAAATGCAGTCTTATTCAACAGTCCTGCAAAAAAAATCAGGAGTTGATTAAAATTTTTTGGTAGTTTGTGGTGCTGCTTTTGGTAGTTCCTGATATTTAATTTACCACAGTGATACTGTACCAATTACAGGAGACTGAAAAGAGACTTACCCCCATGGACCTCCTTTAAACCAATTTCACCTGCTGTATGTCATTCCCTCATCAGAGAAGAAAAGCCTCTGGGTTTACAGCGCCACCCGTCCCTGTTTGAGTTGGCCTGTGTTGTTTCTAATCCTTCTCCTCTAATACTTTGTCTTTACTTAAGTCACATCTGTTTCCACTACTTGAAGTGTGCAGCAAACTATCAATCAAAGTTCAAACCATCAGTTTTGTTTTCATCTGTGCGTGCAGATGTGAGGTCTTACCTTGATTTGATCATGGGCATCTCAAAGGTGATGTTCTCCACCAGTGACGCATTCAACAGCCAGGGCTTCTGGGAAGCGTAGGCCACAGCGCCTCTCTTCCTATCAAGAGGTTTTAAAACCCATGCAGGAGTGTAAAAACAAACAATAATCTGCTGTTTATGTTTACTTCTTAATGAGTGTTTTATTTCACACACAGGTTAATCTGTTTAAACTCTTGACAACAGGGACTCCTCAGCCTCGGAAGCTGAGTTATAAAAATAACTCCAGCCCATAAAGACACTGGTCCAGGGATCATTAAAGGCTATATTTGAGGGTCGGGGGCAAATATGTGAGCAGAGGGAATATCTTGTTCTCTATTATCTTCAGGGGGTTTCTAGATAACGATGAGAGTTGTTGTTTTGCTCTGCTGATAATGGTGATGCGTCTCTATGGTGACCTCCTGGTGTGTACAGCATGCTGTTGTCTGAGCTCACCTGACGTCTCCGTCACCTGCTGCATCTCTGTCTGTGGGACTGCAGAGAAAATATCAAACACACACAAACATTAGATAAGCAATACTGTTCCCTCTGAGATTATCAGACTATGACCTGACAATGACTAACTCCATCGTATTCCTGTAATGATTAACAAAAAACAAACACACACGCACACTAACCATTATATTCTCCCCTCACTATGGCAATCATGTCATTGCTCAGCAGCTCAAACACGTCCAGACCAACCACTTCCCTACATGAACGCATCTATCATTAGCTGTGATCTTATCCTTCCTAAAAATAAAGCCCACCCTCCCAATTTTTCTTCCTGTAATTTGCTGATATGGAAATCAGCATCACCCCGTTTGGACTCTGACGCATGCAATTCTCAGAGGATCTGATTCCTCGGGCTGAGATTAGTGCGTCAACACGAGGTCTGTGGCTGTCTGGGTGTTTGTTGCTGTTCGCGGGTATCTTGTCTATGTGTCTCACTGTATACTGCCCTTTAACTGTAAAGGCAGGCTGTTTGAGGCGAGGAAAGAGTGATCTGTGCGTAAAATGCATTTCTGGCATCAGAATGTGTCAGAAACTTGCAGACTTATTAGTGAGTGATCTGACCGTCTGTTTTGTAGTGAGGTGCTTGAACCATGTGATAAATAATTAAAGGGACTTCCGAGGCCATCTAATACCACGTTGTTCATTTGATCACTCCAGGGAAATATAGGGGAAGTTCAAGATGTTGAGTTGACTTCTTCCTTCTCCATTTCTACTGGCTGGCATGTTCTGACCCATTTCATGCTGAGAGGAGACAAAGACTCTGGCGGACTGGGGGTCGAGGTGACACACACACACACACACACACACACACACACACACACACACACACACACAAGTACACCGTGCTGTTCTTCCTTCCTGACAAGACAGCGGTGTCTATCCCTGATCCAGACCAGGCGGCGCTTCAACATTGAGTCACCTTGACACATAACTACTAGATCATTAAATACTTGAGTAAAGTCCCTGCGAGCTGTAAATTTCTACACTGCAATCACATAGTTGAATAATTTAATCATTTACTGTGTGTGGTGATTAACATGTAGTTTGCAACTATTAAGATATAGTAGACTTTCTCTCTGAATGAAGTGTGGGCCTGAAGGTTATGGCCAAGAGCACTTTAAAAGCAAAAATACATCATGTTAAGTTTGACAGTTTGCTTCCGTTTTATGACTGACTTGAATGTGTTTCATACCATTTGTTGTTTTGTATTTTTTGTCCTTCCTAGTTACTAGTTTTATAACAAAATAAAACTGCCCTGACAGTTAATTTGTGAACAGTGCTATTATATGTAACAAATCTGAGCTCTGAAATGGCTCAGGTGGAAGAATGAAAATGATTCTTCCAAGAATCATGAGCAGTGAGCTTCAGTATTTTTTTACAGTGAAGCAGTTGTGTTTGTTGTACCATCACTTGACTATATGCTCTATCATTTAATGTTATTCACCAGACAATCCTTGGCTGTGCAGACACTCTAAAAATAATTATACTGTCAACAGACACACAGCTTCTGCCAGTGTCAAGACACCGGCTGTTAAATGCTACTTTGATGTATAAATATCAAAAAACAGTGAATGCCATGGCCAGTTGAGTTACAAATAGAAACAATGATCCACAGTGTGCTAAAATAACACTATTTGCGTTAGCTAAACCAGTGACAATTCTGAACTGTCAACAATACTTACAATACTGATTTACAGCGTCCACTATTGTTCATGTGCAACAACGGCATCAAATGCTTTCCTCTCCATCTGCACTCTGAAAATACTCCTGTAATCCAGGCTGTAAATATTTTTAATGTATGTGACTCATACTGACGTTTGTCCTCAGGAGCCAACCTCAGATCTTCATGCAAGTTTAAAATTCTTCTTTAAGGTACGACTAAAAATACTTGTATACTCGTTGGCTTGTTTTTAAGGTTTGGGTGCTTGAGATGTTTTCCTCTTTACTTTGAGCACTTACCTTTCATCTCCCTCAGACTCCAAGTTTGGCAGGCTGCAGAAAACAGGGGGAAAAAATATTAATGTAAGTGTATCTAACAATTCTGCAATTGTTCCTCGCCAAAAGTTGTAAACGTACAGTGAAAAATCGAGGCCAAGGGAAAATTGTGAAGTCTGGTTATTACATTTAAAAAGGCCTTAAAGCTCACATTAACTCCAATTTTTAGAATAATTAAATGCCCCAAAGTGTCCTTACATATACTGTGCACACATGCATGTTAACAAATACATATAACCATTCACATTCAGACTCTTAAATTCATTAAGATCCGATGGCTGTTTGGGGCTTTGCACATGCTCAGTAGAAGCTGCAGTGTATTTTTAGGCTTGAAAAGTTGACACCTCTCTCTGTCGTCCTGAGAGGGTGACTCTGATCACATGTGAGCACAACCATAGAGCGATGGCTGACTTACACCAGTTTACCGCAGCAGCTTTAAAAGGCAGGGACCACAGCTGCTAGGAAGAGAACTGCTGACTGACATTTAAGAAGCTACGACACGCCACACACATACATGTAGACGTCGCTTTTACTGACTGTGTAAAATAAGAAAAAGAAAGTGAAGTGAGCAGTGTGAGCAGCTCTATCCGGGAGGTGTTAAGCTGAAAAAAAGAACAATATATAACAGCAATTTAGAGTTTGTAAAAACAAAACCAAAATGTATGTTCACTTTTGTATTAAGCTGTATTAATTTGTTATAAAATTTTTTTTTATGAAACTCACTATTCAAAAACTGTAAAAAAAATTTTACATGAGAAGTCAATAAGCCATATAATCTCTGAACTGCACCTAAATTAAGGTTTAAAAAAACAAATCTACAATGTGAATTGGTCAAATAAAAATCTGTTTAAATAAAAAGTAAAGCAAGATATTTGCTAAATAAATAGTAATTTTGTTTTAGTTGTCAACAATTAAAAAGGAAAGAAAAAAGACTTATTAGACATACATACATAACGACATAGATATATGACTATGAATACTTTCTCAAATTTTAAATCATTGCAAGGTCTGAATAATATGTAGGTTGGCTTTCCAACCAACATATGCACCAAGATATCTATGAGGAAGACTGGCTGTGCCTGGTTTCAAAAAAGAAAGGAATCTGTATTGCAAGAAGTTTGTTAGATGGGAATTGTGGAAAATAATTTATAAGAACAAAAAAAATCTCAAGTGAAAGATGTGTGATTTTTGTAGGAAAATGGTTTCCTTAATTATCAGTGCTAAACTGAGCAATTTCTAACAACAACCAATGAAAACTTTCAGAAAATTACTTCATCAGGCCTGATCACCTAATGACACTTGAAAGACACTAATGCCTGAATGGATGGCTGATTGTTTTCCTGCAGCCATTATAAAAACAGGCTAATCATGCTGGAGCCTTCATCTCTGACTAAACCACCGACTATTTCCCCCGTCAATCAAAACCTTTAAGTACTGTTCTCAAGGTTGTGTTAGAGGAAAATTCATGTGGGAGTTGTACAAGACAGTTTCAATCAGCAGCCTCAAAGCCAGGCTCAGGAATGAATTGACTTAAACGCCTCCTAATGGTAATGGGAAGTAATGGAGCATGTTCACTGTGGTGACCACGCCTGATAATGATGGATAATGCCTCCTTATTTGTAATCAAACCTACATTTTATTCTCTTAAATAAGAAATCTTTTCTTCACTCGCTTTTCTTGTTCTTTAACAACTGAAACCTAGCTCTCTACACACTTGATTGATCCCTGCAGCAAACCCTCTGGTTTGAGACATGGGGGTAGGCCAGTTGCTGTGTTGCAGTTAATCACATCAGCAGGTACGGTTTGGGGTCAAAGCCTCGCTCACCAGCTGGCTATGCTGCCCACTTTTGAGACTCTGGACCTGACTGCACACAAGATATCCAACCTGCACCACTTTGACTGGATACTAAGGTCAAGATACAAATAGTCATCACGCTGTGCCATATTTGGAGAGGGAGAGCAGAGGGGGAGGGGTGGTGAGGAATGGTGGTGGTTGTGGGGAAGGTTCCCATCAATAGAAATGACAGCTTGTGTTTGTGAAATATAGTGTTGGTAAGCTCGTCACCCACTAAAGGAGAAATGCCACCCTCCATGACCTGTAATTCGACCCACTAACAGGTTTAATCTAATCTATAACGAAATCAGACTTAATTACAAGCAAGCAACTACCATTGAAATGAGACACTAAAAGCATAACGCATGACTTGTTCCTGTTGTGACTGCTGTTAACATTATATCAATTGTTATATCCATTTCCTGTTACATTCTGCCCATTCAGACTGGGAGTTCATGCTTGATCTTGGAACCAGTAGTTTGCCAAACAATGGACATTGAGGAGAGACTGTTTTGTCAACTGCTGTTTCCAAAAGTCAGGAATCGCCTCTTAATTTCAATATTTACGACAACTTGGACAAAACGTTCTTAAAGTGCTCAGAAAACCTAGGCATCTCCATCTGCTCAGCACCAGAGAGCTACTAAATTACCCTTGTAGTGAGACTGTAACCAAAATAGTTCTTATCACTTGATTATATACATGGTGCACGGTGAGTGCATGCACAGTGCTGAAAACATGAACACCACCAACTGACTCTCAGAGCCACCAATTACCTTCAAACAAGTCACTGAAGCCTTCTTCATAAGTCCAACAAGCTCGCACGCTGACTCTTAGTCATGTTGTTTACTCTTGCCAGGCACCTGCTGCTCTCATTTATGCTCACATTGCCTTTTGCTTTATGTGCATTTCTTATCTCAGTGATTTGGATCTGCTCCCAGATACAACTTTTCATCCAAGTGTGGCTGTCAATGTTCCTGACTGAAGAAAGGAACAATTGTAACAATAACAAACATAACATAAGGACATACTCGGCTTTAGGAAGTCTAAATGACAGGTCCTTAGTCTCCCTGGGACACACGATAAGTGAGAAGGTTTGGCACCCGGCAGGGATGCACGATCCAACCTAGTATCAGAGGGAGTGCCAGCACGGCTCTGGCACCGGGACAGAAGGACGAACTGTGTGAATGTGTGTGTGGCTGCCAGGGCACTGTGACAATCAAGTATGGGTGAGTAAACTGTTGACAAATGGAGAATGATAGCAGTGCTATCCTGGGTAGGTGACGAGATGTTCAAATGCCCGAGATAACGCCTAATGACTCCCAGAATGCATCAGGCAGGATATGAGGATTCAGTTTTGGCTGAGCTATTTCAAATGTGCTCTGCTTCTCTGCATCCACTGGGTTTACCTTAGATGTAATGCTGAAAAGAATGATGATGGTTAATTATAAAGATTGGTCATCCACATTCTGCAGCAAGATAGGGACTTTCTCAGAAAGATGTTCCAGATGTTACAAAATGCGATGAAAACAGATGCACAGTCCAAGCAGTCCAAACTAAACACAGACTCATCAGAGTGGAGAAATCATTTAGTGCAACAAATAATCACCATCACAGTCACAAAATGCACTGAAGCATCCACCTACCACATCCAACTAAGCAGAACTGTGACCCTAATTCTCAGGAACTCAAATGAGATGAAATGCACAGAGACATTAAGTTACATTCATTTAGTCTGAAGGAGATGCCATTAAAAATCTGACTTTCCCCCCTTTTTATTGTAAAATACTGTAAAATAAATGTTTTGAGCATGGAAATTCATTCTTGATCTTGGGAACGCATATATGTTGAACTAGCTTTTTCTGGAGCCTTCTTCAGTGATTAAAGTTGCATACTTAAACCACGCTAACAACTGAGCAGTTTCAAATTGCTGATGACATGCAATGGTGTCATCTGAAAAGGTGGGTTTCCAGCCTGCAGCGGTACTTGCATGAAAAGATCCTCACGTTCCTCCGTACTCCATCAGCCATAAAAAATAAAAGCTGCAACATCAGCTCCACCTCACTGACCTACAAATCCATTTATGTTATACTGCATATCACAGCTAGAGGTCTCATTTTGATGCTAATTACATTACCTTGTCAGGGACATGGAATTTATCGCTGCAAGAAAACACATAAATAAAAGCACAAAACCGCCTCCGAATACAGGAGAGGTTTAAAAAGCACTCAGAGCGGCACACACTTTCATGAGGAAGAAAAACATGCCATGAGACCAGATGATGAGCAGTTCTCTTCAAATGAACCTTTCACCTCTGGATTGAATTTCATTTCAAGAATGAACATTATAACATACAGTTAATGGGTTTCCCTGAGGGCAAATGTATCATGTTGTTTTGTAACTGAATGGACAAGAAGGTGATTTATATACTGGGGTGAATAATGTATTGACACAGGGCGTAATTTCATTTAAGCACTTACAGTAACTGTCAGGTAATTAGGACGATGTTTAAAGGATAATTGCAATTTATTTTTTGTTTTCTTAGTTTCATTATGCCACTCAAATCAAAACTTCCAGCTATAGTACTTCACAGTAGAGCCACACAGAGTCTCTCAGACTGAAGGAGGCAACAGGAAACTCAATCAGTCAAATCCAAATAATGATTCAGTTTCATTTCAGAATTGATTGGCACAGACAGAACAGTGACCTCGTAAACTGACCTGTTCCAGTTGACTGTTCCCGATACTCTCTGCATCTCTCCCAGCGCTGCCAGCAACAGAGACGATTTTCCACAACCCACCTGGCCCACAATCATAGTCAGCTTACCTGAGAGGTTTGATGAGACAGTGAGGCAACATCACAGGAAGTAAACAGATAACTAACAGAAGGAAACTAAAGAGAGAAACAAACAAGGAGAGGAACTGAGGATTGTACATAACATTGCCTGATGCTCACCAAAAGGAATCTTGATGTCCACATTAGAAAGTGTTGGCGGTCCATCGGTCCAGGTGAAATAACCGCTAGTTATCTATAGAAAGAATAGCACAGATTCTGTAAACATGTCATCCATCTAAAATGATGCAGAGTGGCAGTGAGGCAGTAAGAAGTAAATGTGGCCTCATTGTTATTCATTGTATTGCAGAGGAAGGAGGACACAGGTTCACTTGCATCCAAAATACTGTGAATGACATACAGAGAGTAAAGTGAGCAGGTGAATCACTGCAGTTTCCAGAGGTAGAAATGGAGTTACAAAGATAACTGTCCTAAATTTCACAAAAAACAAATCAACACTATCCCAGATATTAATAACACATGTCATTGTACAGACTAAGTTGTGACGATGAAACCTCAGGGCAATTAATTCAACTGTCAAAATGCTGATTTAATTTATACATAAAAATAGGCACAGTATATACTGTATATGATGATATGTCAAAAAAGTAAACCGGTCTGGGCGTTCTTTAGAGGTCCAAACATTGAGCTTCTTTTAATGTCAGCGATTTTGGATTATGCTGATATGATGTGTCTTCTTTTACCTTAAATGTCATTTACTTCAATAGTTTATGTAGATTTATTTTGAAGTCTGATTCACACCCATATGTATAAGGCTTTCAATAAGATAACTTTAAGCGCCAGAAAAAAAATTTAATTGTTCATGTTCAATTTTATATGCATTTATTTTAATTACCCAATGTAACCTGAATCTATTTTTCCAGCTATATACCTCATTGCCCTTATTAACACACTCTGTCCCTGCAGTCTCTACATAAATGGGTAGGTTTTTTTTTGTTTGTCTGCCTGACCATAGTAAATAGCAAATACAATGACTTGACAAGACACTCTTGGAAACGAGATGATGCATCTCAAGATGCTTTAAACAATACATTTGTTCAGTGTCCCTCATGCAAAGAAATCCCTAAAGGTCATAACTGCTACATGAGTGGTGTGATTGTGACAAAACCTTGAGAGCCAGTCAGCGTAACTTGAAATGACTGACCTTTAAAAAAACATTCAGTCTATTTGCTAACTTTAACTTTGATAAAACTTGAAGGAACATTGCATCTTTTTACTGTCTAGACCAGAAGGTATCTGGTGGAGTCTGGAAGATGACGCATTGGTCTCTCCTTTAATCTCTCTCACCTTGATACAGATGTCTTGGTCTATTTCCTGGGAGGGTCCGTCGCCCTCGTGGTCCCCCTGTGAGCTGTAGTTGTTCCAGTCGTCCCTCGGAGGGCGCTTCCGATTTACCACCTTCAGGGGCTTGAGGTGTCGGGACAAAGAGGAGGAGGAGGACGAAGGGAAAGGTTTAGAGGATGACTAGAGGAGGATTGTATAGCGTCAGGCATGGAGAACAAAGGGGTAAATGGTGATATTAACAGGAAGATGATAAGGTGGAGGAAGAAAACAACATTCACAGCAAAGTGAGAAAGCCTGGATGCAGGGGAGATAGCAAGATACAGATGTTGTCTACCTCATTGCCTAAATCAAGCCGACCCTCCCAAAAAAGTGTGTGCACATATACTTACCACAGCCTGGTATCTATTTTGGTTGTGATTGCTGGACCCAGAGGTTATCGTGGCTCTGGGCTCCTGTTCATCTCCAATTTCATCGCTTGAGAAAAACTCACTGAGCTTCTGAACACTACAGATTAATCAAACAGAGGAAAAGTAAACAGAGACATCAAGTCACCAATGATGACTATCACAGCAGACACGCACACACAGCATAGAATATAAATTGGTTTCTCATTTAAAGTCTAATTTGTCCCAACACATGATCCATGCCACCTAAATCTGTGCTAATTAACAGATCTGAAAATTCTCGACTCAACTGAAAGTCATTTCTTTGAATTTACTTATCTATGTATCCATTTGTCTCATGGATTAAGACATAGAGGAGTAAACAATGAACCCTGTGTCTTACAGTAAATACATTGGAAAAGTGCCCCTATCATCACAAGAGTATTATGAAATGAGAATAACTGACCAAATGGAAAATATTTAAAGCTGCACAATGACTTTCCATTTACAATACTGTTAGCCCATTCTTCGTCTACAAAGAAACATTTCCTCATGTTTTAGATTGAACTGAGTGAACTGCGGTGCTGAATATACACTGGTGCCTGACAAAGTATGTCAGACCACACATTCCAAAAATAGACATCTCAAAGGATCACAGGCAGCTTCCACATTCAAGGAAGAAAAGCCACTCTAGTTAAAATACGGTGCTTACACCAGAACAGTTGTACTAGCTCCTAAAGGCTCATATAGAAAATGTCCGTGCAATCCTGTAGCAGCCGGTGGCATCACCCCCACGGATTACACTCCTGCTCTGTGATCATTTTTAAGAGGTGAAAATAGAGATGATGGGATATAAATTGTCACGGCTTCATTGCCTGTACAGTCTGAAAAGAGTTCATTCACTTTATGAGACATCCTTAGAAAACTGTTAAGCAGTACATTCATTCATACTTGATTTTGTTATTAATCTGAGTATAGAGATTATGTAAATTTAATATTCACAGAACGGCCAAATGTTGAAAATTACATTTTACCCCCTGATGTCTGATTATATATGCAAAGTGAATACTTTATATATTTATATTCTCTACATAGCTCAGGCAAACCCTTTTAATTTTTTGCTCTTCAATGTTGAAGTTTTTTTTAAAGTTTTTAAGATGATACTGGTGAAAGTTAATCTAGGCAAGTTAATCTAGGCAAATTAAGTCTACAGGACGCTGTATATCCATCATTCTCAATTGGTCCTGCTTTTTGTTTTTTAAACCTACAGTGTATCAAGTCATCTTGTACAGTAGAGCACACCTCCCTGCAGATCAACACATGTAAGCTAAAAAAAAAAGGGCTAGGCCTAATTTGCCCTACATAGATCTGTAAACATATAACTTTGTGACTCAGTATATATATAATAAGCAAAGCCGTATACATATCCAGAGGCATGACAGGATGGGGTAATTATTGACTTATGCAGCATTGGTGGAAGAGGGAGAGAGACCTGTGCCTCTGCAGGAGCCTAATCATAACAGATGTCTTGACTCCCAAACTAATTAGGAAGCTAATCGCTGAAATAAACAGCCACAACGTTCAAGTGTCAGAGACAAGTGCTCTAAGACAAGAGAGAAATGAAGCACTTTGTTACATAAACAAAGGCTGATCCGATAATGCCGCTGATCCACCTGCTGCAGGAAAAGGTCAAGTGTTTCATCTAATCATGTTGCTTTTCACTACTCTGCTTATTGTCAGTTGTGTTTCTGTTGTTTCAGTTAACATCTCCTTCAATGGGACTATTTTCAGAAACTTCCAAACCAATAAACACTCAAAAAAACAAACCAGTGTTTCCAAGTTTATCTCTACATTATGAAACTGTATTATTTGTGATTTATTGTAAAAGTCAGCATGAAGAGGATAAATCTTTTTCTTAGGGTTTCTCACCTAACAAGCGCCTTGACGGTGGAGCGCACCACACTGGAGAGCAGGAAGAGGGGGGTGACCAGGATGTGAAAGAGGGACAGAGAGGCAAAGGCCACAGCTGGGGACAGATCAGCGTCCTCGGAGATGTGAACATGAACCACAAACGTCTGCCAGATGACAGGGAGGACAGAATGGCCAGAATGAAGTAAGTGACAACAACATAGATTTAGCTCCCCAAACCTGTGAACTGCTAACTTTCGATTGGCTGGCTGAGTCACTCGTGGCCTCTTCAAGGTAAAACCCACTTGAAGAGAAACAGAAGTCATTCCCTGGCTGTCAGCATCAAGTTACTGTTAAACTTGAGTTGTCCTCTCAAGAGTTTGAAGAGCACGATAAAATCAAATCAACTCAAAGATGAGGCATTTGTCCATATTTGTTGTTTATAACAGTCCCTCTCCTTGGTGTCTTTCTGACTTATATAATTCGTCATTCCTCAAGTCTACGACCATGAAGGACTTATAAATGTATGAATACGGACAGTATTTAGTGTGGTGAGCCCTCCACTGTGTTTCTTGAAATATCACTAGACATCTTGCAGTCAGACTGCCGGGCAACTGTCTCTGCTCTGTCCTTCACATAGGGGCAAAGTCAACAGAATGCACTCTGCAGTTCTTGGCTCTGTTTACATCTAGATACAACTATTTAAGTAGACTCATCCTAAGCAGAGCATACTGAATCATTTTCATTTAGGGGAATTAATGGTAGAGCTAGAATTTAAACTCACCGTCAACACAGCTGCGATGGGAATAGCTGCATTCATAAAAACTGAAAGCAGAAAAGAAACAGAAATTTCACAAAATTTGTTTAAACATCCTTTTGTTTTCATAAAACCCATTCAAAACCACCAATTAGACAGACTCAAATAGTACATGGCTGGGGTGTGCTGTGGGATCAGCGGTCTGCAAGTGCATAAAAGAACACACTCTTGTAAGGACATTTGCTGCTCGCCATGCTTGCTTTTCTCTGCCTTGTTGTTATTATTTGTTATTCAATATTGATAACTGTGTAATTCAAAATGTCATGAAACATGATCTAAAGATTGCACAGATCTATAAAAACTATGTTACTGCAGTGAAAGTGTAGTCCTAGAACTGCGTTAATGGTCAAATTGAGTGTTCGAGTACTCTTACAAAAATTGTCAAGGAGGAATCTTTGATTGCTCACTCTTCTTAAATATGTAAATATTGATTTTAGATTGGACACAGTCCATAATGGGACTGAAGGCCCACACACTGCAGCTACTGTTCATCTGATAGCTTGGAAGAAGATAAAGAGGATAATATGTGGAAAACAAAGTACTGAGTGATTATAATGTGCAGTGATGACTTATGTACTGGGACAGTATGTAGGTACAAAAGTTAAGATACGTCAATGTTGACATTTGGTTTCACACAGGACATAAACAGCGGTCTCCTGGGTGAAAGTCCTGTGTTTGTTTGAACCATCCATCCACCTTGACCTCCTGCGTATCCAGAGTTTGTGCCTTACTGGATATGGATGTGTAAAGAGCAAAGGCTTGCAGGCTGATGAGCTCTTTGCCCCTGGTCTCCTCCACGCTGTCACAGAAGATGTGCTCCCAGGCATACAGCTTCAGCAGCTTGATGCCCCGCAGCAGCTCATTGGTCTTCTTTAGTCGTTCACTGGAGTATTCCTGCAAGTGGGAAGGGAGACCTTGATTACACAACCATTATCTGATACATCAAGGACAGATGAACTATAAGATTTGCAGCCCGAAAGCGACACAAATGTTGTGATACAATTAAGATAATGATACGATACTATACACTTTATTGTCCCTGTAGGGAAATCTAAAACGTTTGAGTTTACATTGGGCTATCTATGTAGTCTGCCAGAGGTTAAGAGCTCATACTCGGCGTGGAGAATTTGAGATGGGTCGGACAGTATTCTCTGTGCTTGGCTGAGAACAGATTGATCATATATTGACTGGAGGGACTGGTATTCACTCCCCATAACCTTCAAGGAAGACGAGCAAGATTAGATTTAAACTGTACAGACAGATCAGCTCTCTAATACAGCCTCCAATACAAACATAATCCTCCGATCCAAGTATAATTTCTGCTGTAAACGAGAGTACAAACTTTCAGCCTTTCCAAGCAAATTAACTAAACCTTCATAGGAAAGTGTTTTTCACTGGTATAAAATCATGCTCCACAGTTTCAGTGAATGAAACAGTAGACCTGATACAGGTGTCTAGCTAAGTGTGTCTGTATGTGTGTGTATTTGAGAGAAAGAGAAGCATGTGACATCATGCTTAACACCATCATTACATCCACTTCATTACACTAATATTGACTCTGTTTGCAAAGTTCTGCATGACCTCTTTGAAACAGAGACAGGTCAGAGCCCACTCACATTAGCACTCACATTCACAGACACTAGCTCTGTGAGGCTGTGTACCAATCTATCAGGAGATGGTGAGATATTTTAGAGGAAAAGTGAAATATTTAACCTTCAGCCTGGAGAAAAGTGGTGGACTAAGAGATCAACTGAGTGTCCGACCGACAGACATTGCCACACACAGCCGCAAGCATGGCTAAAAACACATACAAATACTCGCAAACAGTGCTGCATCTCTTTCAAAGGGCCAATAGAAGCAACTCACCAAAGTGCTCTTTTGTGTATGGGAAAGCTTGGTGGCCACAAAGTATTGTACAGGAGCTAACACAGCGATGACGGTCGCTCCAATCAAGGCACTGATTCCCAAGAGGTAGTAGAGCAAGATCACTCCCACAACAATCTGAGAGTGGAAGATACAGAGAAAGACAGAAAAAAGAAGAGACATTAACCTTGTAGAGAGAAAAAGGAGGCATACAGGATTTCCAAAGAGGCAATCTGCAGTCACACATCGCTCCTTGTGAAAACCATATTACCACAGTGCACAACTTTGTGAGAAGCAGTGACCTTGAGGATACTAAGGGCACCAGCATACATGCAAGGAGATGCAAGGAAGTGACAGAGAGCTTAAAACCCTCACTTCTGATACCTGCTATGAATATATGGATGTGCTGTATTCATACACACAAGCTTACAAGCGGAGGAACACAGCATGTTTTAGACAAGATCCTGGATTTGTTAACTCCAGCATCGGTCAGTCAGTTAAACGCTCAAACCTGAATGTGTTTGAAAATTAAGCTTTTAACATCCTCTCCTCTCCCTTTTTACAACAGAGATGAGTCATGTTTCCACCTGTCCTTGGCTGCTTTCCCACCACCCACCACCTTTGGCAAGCATGCCGGATTCTGAAATCCCCAGGACACACAGAACCAGAAGGAGATGGATGTGACACTCACTCACTCGCCCTCTCCTTCATCTGTCACAGGATAATATGTGCTACTGGAGACAAGAGGGATGACAGCATGATTTGTTTTTATTTCCTTTGTAATAATACCTTTTTACAGTGGCTGCCTCTTAGTAGTGAGTCATATGTAACCCTGGCTTTTGGCATGGCAATGTTGCGGAGCCACCAATCCCACACAGTTTCTTTCAGCTTCTCACATGAATCACACCTGAAGTGTGTGTTGTTTTTAAAAAGCTCCATGCTGCTTACAGTTACATACAGTACAGTCACTCCCGCTAATTCGCCAGACTGCTTCCTAACTGCGATATTTCCCTCAGCACCTCAAGAAACACTGCGACTGACCTTTTGGGAGGTCTAACAGGACTATGCGTCTACAACCATGCTAGCGGCTATATTTGGAGTGATGGTTTGAATTAAAAATTAACATCAGCTTGCTGACATTTTCACAGTGACAATGCTGACATGATAATGTTTAGCTGATATTATGTCTATGTACACCATCTTGGTTTAGCACAAAGCTGAGGCTGATGGTGATGTCATTAGGTTTACAGGTAGTGATAATTTAAAAAAGAAATCAAAAGTAATTAAGATTCATCCATTGGAAACTGTGAATGTCTGTACAAAATTCTGTGCTAATCTATCTTGTAGATGTCGATATATTTTACAGGATAAGTAAATACTAATTGACAGACTGGTGGTGCTCCTGCCTATAAAAAGTCAGGGGATCACAAAAGAGATTGCAGTTCATTCTGAGGGGAACAAGAATATCTCTACTAAATTTCATGGTAACCTGTCAAATAGCTGTTGAGATTTTCCAGTCTGGACCAAAGTGGTGAGATTGGACCAAAACTGCCATCGCTAGAGCCATACTCCTAGCATGATTAAAAACAGGATAGGCACAACAGTCTTCTCTCTAGATACATACCAATATGCATTTTTCTGTATTTGGAGATTATCTCACGTGAAAGCAATTCAATAAGCAGCGTCAAACCATTTATTTTCTGATTAACTGCAAACGCTTTGAATTTAATGAACATTAAAGATGACATGGAAATTAGAGAAATAGAAAACACTGAGCAAAAGAGTCATGTGTTTTGTTTACACAGTACATGAGCAATATTAGCTGGCAGCTCAAGTCTACCGAGCCTCTGATCGATACACCTTTTTTCACAGCACACCTTCTGGCTTATCTTAACAGGTGGAATTGGTAACATTAAAATGATTGCATTCAATTTAAAAGAGTTGGTTTCCTGGTTCTGTGCATGCTGGCTCGCTGTCCATATGGCTTAGCAAGACACTTACTGGGACACGCCTGTGTTTTTCCTAATATGATAAGTTAAAATGCTGTGTTAAGGACCCAATACTGGCCACACTGTACGCTAAAAGGTTAGTAAGACGAAGAACAGAGCTGGTTTCTGTTGAGAGATGATTTTGCAAACTGTTTCATGTATAGTGTGAAGTGACAAAAGGGGCTAATCTCAGTGCAGTCACTTAATTGAAAAACACTGGGGATTCAAAGATAACTAGAAGCTGCAACAAAAATAAAGAGCTAAGATTTGAGATCACTGTAACTGCACAAGCCCTGTGTTAGCAGGCAAGCAGGTGCTGGTGCTACTGCTACTGAAGGTTGTAACACAGCCTGGTTCTGTCTTGTTAACGTGTTATTATTGCGTTAACGCATTAATTAATTAACGCTGACAATTTTATCGCATGTTAACGCCGTTATTATTATTATTATAAAAGAAAGTCTGTTGCTCACTGGCTCTGAATACACATACAGTCAAACCATGGGGTCACAGGAGGGGTGGGAAGTTGATCAGCCTGCAAATCACCCACCCAAACAAGCAGTGGAGGCTTCGGCAGACTCCGCTGGATGCAGCATGTATGAGAAGTAGACGAACAAAAGCAAGACAAGCAATCAAATGCCACAGCGAAGTGGATAGCTACACACTGCATGCTGATTAGTGTTGGGGAAGATGTCTTAGGAACGTTCTTAAAATAACAATGTATTTGCTTGGCCCTGCGGGGTTGCTCTTTGCTCTGGTGAACAGGAGACAGCGCTCCGCGAGGAAACGGCAGGTGCTCTCACCATGTAACCATGGCAACAGCTTCTGTGCGCTACGCCTATTTAACTTAAGTTAGTAAAAAGTAATATATTCTGGAAACTCACACACAGCGAGGATCAGTCTCTCTTCCAATGATTTGTGCTGCACGTCGCGTACAAAAACTTCAAGACAAATCAACTTCGGCAGCGGGTGGGTGTGTGCGTGAGGCGACCACTTCCCCTCACTCTAACAGGGACACTTGCTACTGAACACAGACTGTTTATGCTGGTCCCTGATAACAGAAAAATGTTTCTGCTGATACCTGTTCAGAAAAAAAAATTCAAGAAAACAGATTTTCTACTGTGAAAAGTGAATACTGCTGGTAAAAAGCACATTATTTGTTCAAAGTGTTTGCAAACCACATGTTATTGCACTTTTGTGTATATAGCAGTACATTTAAATTAAAAGTGCACAATACACTACTTCCCCGCCACCCTGTACGCAGGATAAGCGGTTGACAATGGATGGATGGATGGATGGACAATTCCCAACTTTAGAATTCATTATTCAATTTTGCGCATAACTATGCGATTAATGTTTTTCATTTGGCGCTTGATTTAGCATTGCAAAGATTGTTGGCTGTGTTTATGCCATAGGCTGTATATAAAGATGGACAACATGACAGCTCCCCTGAACTGAAATGAGACTAAATATAAGCCCACTGTAAAATTCATAACCCGGTAGGGTAACGTTGACAATAAGGATTAATTAAATTTTGAGTTGGCCAGACAACTACACAACCCATGAAATTGTTTTTCCATTAAAACATTCTTAGTTGCGACAGCTATTTCTACTTTCCCAAAGCAAAGATCTCCATGTTCCTCCACTGGCAAGTGTATACAAATAAAAAATATGAGGCAGGTAGATAGAGAGAGAGAGTGAGAGAGAGAGAAACAAAAGAGAGGAGAAAAAACCCTCCAGAGGACATCATGGTTTATGTATAACAACATTGATTATATGGTAGGCCCACTGTCATGAATTACCCATAGCATTACAACACATAAAGGTCACAGGCTTGTTATCGACTGCACACATTTGCAGTGAATCTATGAGCCTGATGGGAAAATACAAACACAATGCACCTCATCATATACAATAATAAAGACAACATGGAGCACAACACAGCACACAAGTGAGTGTAAATAAACATTCTGTGTAATAAACCCACAGCTTAAGTTTAACACAAAGGTAATATGTAGTCAAACATGTTTCTTACCTGTACTGGCATGGCACACAGGTTGGGACAGAGGAAGAAGAACCACATGAGCTGGTTGGTATCTATTGCAACCAGGTTGCAGATCTGAGCAACAGTCAACTCGCCCATGGACATGTTGGAGGTGCACAGACGCATGATCTTGTTGTAGATTTTTGTCTGGGGAGAGGACAACCACATTCAGATCCATCCAACTGTTTTCATCACACGTCACATGTTATATGTATTCCTGTAACGCCATACCTGTATGGCCCCACGCAGGTTGATGCCTGTTTCTATGGCCACATAGTAGGAAGCCTGGAGGAACGTCCTCTGCAGGAGCAGGGCGAAGAAGAGCAGCACGGCCAGCACATATGCATTCTCCAGAAACTCCTTGGAGGAAATGAAATAGATCCCCAGCAACCTCACCTGGAAGCACGGACAGGAAAGGAGCAGGGGGAGATAGAGGTATCGACCGGTCTCATTGTTAGTCAGACAGGGACCTGAGCAAGGTCAATTGCACAGAACTCTGCAGGATTGGATTTAACCTAGAGAGTTTCTGTCAGTGATGAATTTCAACCAAAATTGTTCCTGTTCATCACTTCAAAAGTGAAGGGCAACAGTATCCATTTAAAAATTAATAATTTCCATCTCCCAGCAGGCTGCAGTACCGAGTACTGCAGAGTGTGAAACTCAATCAAACTATGTGGAGTGTAAGCAGGAAACCAGAGAAGAATGAGGTTCAACTGTAGGACACGGATACTGTTTCTCCCTCAAAAATTAATTTATTCTGCATCAGGTACTGTAGAGATCATTCACACAGGAGGGATGACAAATTATTGATTAGAAACTCCACATCCAGTCATCCTTGAGATTTAACTTGGGTCTGTCTCATCCCACTCACAATAGCACATTTCTCACTCAATCTCTAAGATGCAGAAATACAGTCTTACAGTTTTGTTTCCTCAGATTGTCACTATTTTACAAACAGCCCTCTTTTCAGCCTTGTCTTCACACTGCCGCGTAGTCGAGAGCATTTACTTTAAGTGCTTGACAAGTCTTTGTACCATTTACAAATTCACTTGTTATATCCAACTGACTTGCATGGATGTCTCTCAAACAAATAAACAAAGAGGTATTCTTACAGAAGAAGGCCTGAGTGACAGTTTGTCCTGTGTGGAATCTGACCGCTACAGCAGCAATATCAATATTTGACGAGGACTAAATTTGTACACCAGATGCAGGTGCACTGGGGAGAGAGAGCATCACAAACGTCTCATCAAACTGTAAATGTGACCTTTGAGAGGAGGAGCCATGTGACGTCTCAGTCATGTCAGTTGAAGCTGTGTTGGTCTGTTTCTTGATAATTGTTTCAATTCTCTGTTGAATTTTGACAACATCCCGGTCTCTACACTACACATTTCCTCAGAGACAGTAAACTTGAAAATACTGTACCAACCAGTGCCTAGAACACTGGTTATGTCTCATGTTGCATGCAAGTGGTTATTGCAGGTTACTCTGATGTTTCTGCCAACCATGTCATTAAGAAAGAGATAGAGAAAAAAACAGCCGCTGAAGGGGGTAAAATTTTGGAGAAACTTACCCCCCTTAACCAGAGAATGAAACAAAGATGAGACAGCATTGTTTAATTTTTCTGCAAACAAAAATTGATGCCATTGGAATTATTTACGAGGCTACAATCATGTAAAAATTCTTCAAAGTAACTTTTAAATCATTCAATATACAAAGTCTGCATTTCACCTGTCCTCTCACTAAAATATATCTCTATTACAAATGTGTTCAAACATTCTAAATTAAAGGTTCACTTACTATTTATGGTGAATGCGGTGTATAACCATACAACTGGTTACAACTGTATAGTGTATTACGGATGTTATCACAAATCACTTCAATACTGAAGGTGTCGTGCTTGATACTTGGTCATATTTTTAGAAAAAATAATGTGCAGCCGCATTTGCATATGAACTGCAGAGTTTTATTCCCTATTATGTTTTGTTATGTTCATGCTATCCTACTGTTTGCATGAAATGGCGCCGCCGGGGGGGGGGGGGGGGCAGGGGGGCCACGGCCACCCTAAGAACGGAGCATATGTATAAAATGCTATATACTGTATATATTATGTAACCCTTGGTTTGAGTTAAAAGGTGAATAGCAGCATACAAGTGTTGTCATATTAGGCTCTGTCACTTTAAGAGGGTAACCTCTGACCCTGAGCTGTGACGGACTATGATGTTTATTTTAGGAGAGGCCTCTGATTTGTCCATGTAGATGGCAATCACATTTCTAAAATTGTGACTGGTTAAGGGGTTGGACTAACAGGCAGAGCAGAGCGGAGTACACCAGTGTTGTGCCAAATGTGTGTGTTTTCTTTGGAGGTAGCGACCACCTGCAGAAGAAGTGTAATTTAATTAATGTACAGAGACAGTTAGTAGCCTGGCTAGTTTATAATAAGTCTGTCACACTGCTACACAGTTATGTGTATTGTACTGTGTGTGAGAGCTAATAGTCTGCAGACAGCAACAGGTTAGCACTATCGCTAACAGCAAGCTAAGCAGAAGAACACTGGAGCCTGCAAAACGTGAGAACAGCGGAATTCATCTGGACGATGCTATGAAACTGGGCTCAATGTTACTTAGAAGGGTAAACATTGCTACAGGAATAACAAACACTGCGGGGGCACAACGAGTCAGCGGACTGTCTGAAAAACTTCAGAGTCGTCCAGAAGTTTGCCCAGAGGAAAAACCACTGTGCCACCTTTCTGTGGTGAGTGAAAGCAACTTTTATCATCCTGACTCTGCTGCTGGTCCCTGCATGGGCAAATTGTTGTGCTGGATCGGTTGAGACTAGCTGAGACTAGGCTACGGCTTACGGTTGTTTTCATA